TTTTACTTTTGAAAAATATGTCTGATAATCAGTCATGGAAAGGTTCAAGGAGCAGGAGCAAAGTGAATCAACAGCAAAGTACGATATGTTTTACTGAATAAGAAACTCACTGTCAAAAGATAGTCACCAAAAACATAAAGTGCAACCATCAAACCGCATCAGTAATTCTGTTTCTTGGCTCAAGTTTTTTAGTGATCATTGCGCCAATGGCAGAAGATAGAGATGAAAGACTTGCCAAGATACATAATAAATACAGAAAAGGATAATTTCTTTCTGACATAAGATGTTTTTGTTCTGCTCAGCCACAACAAGAAATCAAATTAATGTGATCAAAACCGTTTCACACATACTCATCAATTAATCGTGAGAATGCAGATGGTGTATTAGACACATCTTGGGAGATTCCCAACATGACACATTATTCATAAACACACACACACACACACACACACACACACACACACACGTTTTTCGAGGTCGTTCATTTACAACATATTCTGTAAGACAATATTGAAACAGGAGGACAAGAAGTTAATAATGCTCTTGAAGGTCAGAGATCAGAATCAGACATATAGAACAACAACCCCTGGAGCTGGTAAGGTCTAACGACTTTCTCCAGGGGAGGTGGATGCTTGATGGCAGGTTCTTTGGTTTAAGTATTGCCTTTCCATACTCATTACACCATCTTGTTGTCCCATCAAAAAACCTAGATATCCACTTCCTAACGCAAACATAAAGAGAAGTCCCATAAAACTCTAAAGTATTCTCTCTCTTCTTATCTGATATTCCTTAACTGACTGCCTGATGCCTGTGTGTGTGTGTGTGTGTGTGTGTGTGTGTATTAAATCTATTGAAACCAGCCTGCGCGACAATCACATTTGTTTTTGATTATTTCATTAATTTATCCCTGGGACATTTAGAAGAAAATTAATGGGTGCTGTTAGAATTTAATGTCTTGCCTCAGCGTACTCTAAAATTAAAATGTTTTAGTATTATAACCACATAAAATAGAATAAGTATTTTGACTATAAAAATGTGGTACAGTGGCTTAGTAATTAGTGAGACACACCTAAGTAATGCTGCATTTTTGAGTGAGTGTTGCATTTTTGCCCCTTGTGTTCTTGACTTTGTTCATAGCTATGAATATTAATCTGAACAGTTGTTTACCTGATTTTCACCGAATGCCCTGCTATGACCAGTAACTGGACAGCATGTTTTCATTTTCTTGTCACTGAGCTGTAACATTAAATACAACATGTGCAGCCAGGATGACATCAGTTACAGGACAAAGCTGTCCTCATCAATGCACAACTTTCAAACTAAATCAATCTGGTCATATTGTTTACTGCTTTGGGATGAATATGAGACTACAACAATATATAAATGGAACTAAAGTTAAGGTTGCATTGTACCACATTGCCAGGTATGAACATTGTGTACTGTCTGCTTTTTATGTGTGTGTGAGTGCGTATGAGGTTTGGTTTAGAGGTGGACGTGCATGACAGTAACTTCAAAAGACTGAGGTATCAGATTCAGACGTGGGCTGCTTTGCTTGGGCTGACAAACGAGGAGCTGTTGTGTGAGAAGCAAAGGAATTTACAGCATCTACCTTTCATCTACACAGGTGGGCCTGTGTGTACGTGTGTATGTGTGTGTGTGTGTGTGTGTGTGTGTATTTGTGTATGAGGAAGCAAGGAAGTGTATATGTGTGTGAGTAGTTTGTTTTGTGTTTGAGTTTTTAAGAATGTGTAGTGCACATAAGCATAGATATCTGTGTGGATGTGTGCATGCTGTGTGTGTGTGTGTGTGTGTTTGTGTGTGTGGGTGTGCATTCACAAAGGCAGAGATTTAGACAGGCGAGTCACAACAATGATCCAGGAAGCCAGTGATCCCGACTTTCCAGGTGGTTCAACGCTCCAGTTCAGCGGTTCTCTGAGTTAATTCATTGTTCCTGAAGTGGGGACGTTTTAAACGCTGTAGTAAGAAAACACATGTTGCCAAATGTTAGCATCTGTAATAACAAATCTTATCAAACCAGCTGGAATTTCACAGTAAAGTGTTCAAGGTAACACATTATGAGGAATTATTTCCTAATCCAGGCTTGTGGGTCTTTCAGTGGGTGTCAGGTGACTGACAGAAGGCAGATTGTGATGTATGCCTGCACAAGATGAAAACACTCAGGCACAATGAAATAAAACCAATCTGATTCTATCCTGCAATGAGTTATCTATTTGATTACACACAAATTATTATAATGAAAGGCAAAACTCAAGTCAGTAAAAGTACATTCTCATTATGACAAAGAAGGCAACGAATGGCTTTTTAGGGTATTGCAATAATCCTGATTTTGTGTCCTATTACTATTGTTATGTTGTTAAAACAGAAAAAATTAAAGCCCTGCTAGTAGTAATTTGATGTTGCAGTGTTCATCACAAGCTGCAATATGAAAATGCTAGACAAAAAAGACAAAGTTGGTATTTTAGATACTTAAAAACAGTAGTGGGGCTGAAAATATGACACCGTGGAGGTAGAGGAAACATCATGGGGGTAATGAATGTCCTTGTCTAATTCCATGGTAATCTGCACATTTTGGCCTAAGGGTAGCACAAGAAGAAAGTTGCTAAAGTGTCCAAAATGGAAATGGTTCATTTTCTGGTGACAATAAATGCAGCAACAGCAAGAAGTTTTCAAGAAATCCAGCTGTTAGATTTGGAGATAACTTGTCATGGGTCAAAGTGTTGGTCAAGGGAAAACATTCTGATTGTAGCAGTGGACAAAAGGTCAAAGGATCATCCTCTGGGGACCGTGCAAAACCTCCATATCAGTGTTGAACACATTTTGCTCTGGAGCTAAGAGATGTGGATGAGTGAGCCTGGTTTGCTAGTTAGGGTTAGGGCTAGTCTGATTATTAAGCAAGACTTTTTAAGTATGTGAGGATAAAATTTTTCGGTCCAGACAGAGATTTTATGAAACAGCATCGTTCATAAAGTCTACTTCGTTATAATTTTAATTTAATGAGTTCAGTTTCAACTTTGTGTCCATGTTTAATGAAGCTGAGAGATTGTGATAAAAAAAAATCAGTATCTTGAACATTTACTTAATGTTATTAGTTTCAGTAAATACAAACATACTAAAACCTTTTGTTTGAAACCTCAACAATGCATCTTGATAATGGAGCAGGCATATTTAACCAGTATATTTAACCAGCAAACATTGTCAGTTTATGAGTTAGCTTTTATCTGCATTTGTGATAACAGGACTGACCCTTTAGCTCATAGCAGGGTCGCAGGCAAACACAAGGTTGAAAAGACTGGCAAAGACCACAGAAACACTTTTTTCATTCAATTTATTTTGTTAGTTAAATTTCTATAGCAGGTGAGGGAACATAACGGTCACACAAGGGTTTTCTTGAGCATAGTTTTCAGAAGTCACAGTGTTTTAGACATGGACAAGAACATTTTTTTAAAATGACAATGAAGAAGGAAGGGCCAATAGGAAACTTTAAAACAAGGTGTAACAGTGACACAATCCTACACACCTTCTCCTTCATGGTCCCCCAACTGCCCCCCCTTTGCTCCACCAAAAAAAAAAGGCCTCTGCTCTAAAGTGTTGTCAACCCTTCCCTCCCACAACCCCGCCCCCACCCCCCAATCCCAAAATGCAATCAAAACAAAAACAAACTCGGCAACAAATAGATATATTTATATATAATATATATTCACTCTTTAAAAATAGAACTTCAGTCTAGATACTAACATCTGTACAAACTACAAAAATAAAATTTTAATATAAATAATTTATATGGCATGACATTAACATTTTTTTGAAATAAACTACAAACCAATGCAGGAGATCCCCCCTGAACCCCCCCTCCCTTTAAACTCCTCACCAATGTCTGACAACACCTGCCGGCTGTCTATGGTCTGATCAAACTGTAAATGGTGCTTTGCTCATTTTGCTTAATTATTCACAACTGCACAGTAGCTACTTAACTTTTCTTTCGTATTTACAAAAGAAACCGAAGCTGCCACTTAAAAAAAGGCATTTAAAACATAGATCCGCAAGTTTTTCCCTGCAATTTAACCTGGCAGTGATGAGACAAATACTGAACAACAACGACAAAACTTTGTAAAGCAAATGACATGAAAATCCTAAGAATGAAAGAAAATGTAATGTGGCATATATGAGGTTTGTATTAGCAAGATAAGTGAGAAATTAGAAAGTCAGAGCAGGTTGAACGTGTTACAACCCTAAAGCAGCCAGCAAAGAAAAAAAATTAGAAAATAATAATAATAATAAAATAAAATAATCACTCCCTTTGCATTGGATTTCATAATTCCCTTTCAATATAATACGAGAAGGTGAACACAATTGTGAGAAATGTGAACTTCACCCGCTGTAGAGCTTACAAAAACTGCAGAAAGAAAATAAAATCTTATCACAGCTCCTTCAAGTAGTTCAAAACTGCAGAGGACATAGGGACACCATGACAAAGATAATACATGAAATGTGAATTAGGTGTGACTCATGCCAGCATGTTGGCTGACTCATCACATTCAATAATGGTCAGTTACATGCACAGATGATGGTGATAACTGACTAACAGTCTGCTACTGCTTCTTGACATTTTGTGTCTGGATGAGACACAACAGGTAAAACATAATACTGAGCTCTGAATGCTGTGACAACAAACGGACAAATTGAAGGCACAACGGTTACTACTGTTAAGAAAACAGTATCTGCTGTGTAATTCTCTGCTCTTTTTTTTTTTTTACAGTGCACACTGTGACAGAGAATGTCTATACTTAAAATACAACAGAGAGCGTGTCAGATGCAGAATATCTCACAGCGTATTACTGTGTACAAAGTTACTGACTTAAACCAGAGGGGGGAGAGGGGGGTACTGCATTTTTTAAGGCAAATCACTTAAAATTAATTTGAAGTGTAGCAGCGAAAAAAAACCCAACAACGACAACAACAACAATACAAACACTGACACTGACATGTATGTTCAATAGCCTAATATCTTAATAACATCTCACTTTTTGTGGACACTTTTTACATATAGCACATTTTTTATTCTATACATTGCGGGGGGGAAAAAAATCAACCGCCCCAGAAAAACAAATAATCTTTTACATCTGAACTTTTACACAAGAGTATACCCAAGTTATACAGTACTCTTTTAAATAGCTTCCTTCTTTTTTAGCATTAAAATATATACTCATAGATTTATATAATTCTTAAAACGTCATTTTTTTTCTTAATATGTCCTTGAAATAAATCCTCTCTTTTTCTGTGTGAAGTCTATGTACAGTTGAGAGTTCAAGACGCCATGTGACGCCAAGTTGGCGTCAAGGTGCTCTGGGAGGCAGCCAGAGACTCACAGAGAGAAGGCAGGGTGTGTGAGAGAGTCTAGCAATCTTTGGCTGCCTGGATCCTCAACCCACCTACAGCAGAAAAACAGACAAGAGAGAAAAGGGGTTAGACATTGCTACACAAGAGAAATTAGGCTAGAAAAACGAATCTCAGTAGAAAATTACAAGCCAGGTAAGCCTAAGATTGACTGGTCGCAAGCTCACCTTATGTCTTGCCGAACTGATGCTCTTTCTGGCCCTGTGTTGCTTCCAAGTCCTGGAGCTCTAGAGAGTCTCTCTTACATGAAGAAAAAATGTTTTTGTCACCACAAGTCCTTTTAGCAGCCTCAAAGCAGTCCGACTCGCTGTCTGTGTCAAAACCTTCATGCATGTAGCCTTGGTAGGCTGCCCCTGGTAAGGTCGGATGCACAGCTACCGTCACAGAAGCTGTGGCCGTTACCATGGTAACAGACCCCCCAGTGGAGCCTTGCTGCATCGGCAAGGTGGAGCTGCTATTACTATAGCTCGGCCCTTTAGTCCTGTTTGGCTGAGGCCCTCTGCTGTTCTGTAGCCTGGGGCCACTTTGACAAGTCCTCCCAGGGAAGTGAACTCTGTCGCTGGGTAAGTGTTGGCCAGGCAGTGCCTGAAGCCTCTGGGGGCCCTGCTGCTGCTCCCGCTTGTTCACATCCCAGCACGTAACCTGGGACCCGAGAGGTGACTGTGCATTGTGGGAAGATTCATTTAAAGGTTCTATCCTTCCACCAGTGCCTGTTGAATTTTCTCTGAATGGCTTCACCACCTACAACAAATAAAGTGTTGTTTACTTTTAGAGAAACACATGCATTTGAAGAATATTTGAACATGGATGAAGGGTTCATATCTTGCTCGTGTGGTCGTGCAGCTTACCGTGAGTTTGGGGAAGCTGGGGTTCTTGCTGGCTTCCAGCAGTATGTGAGATGTTGCAGGTGGAACGCTGGTGTGTGATGCTATGTACGCGCTTCGATCGCAGTACTTATAATCCTCCTCCCCGATCCCTGAAGTGGTGGTCATCTCCGAATAATACTCAGAGTCCGACGACTCTGAGAAAGCCTGCTGACGAGACGACCGCGGGTTGTGGTGGCCTGTGTAATAGCCATGGTGGGTCATCGGTGGAGGGAGTGGGGGTTCAGGGGACGGCGTGGGCAGGCGGCTGGAGTTGTCAACCGGGGTGACCTCAGCTGGAGGGCCCATCATGGACAGGAGGACTGGCAGGAGAACCAAGCCATTCAGCATCCCCAAAACAGTCAGGATGGCCAACACAGCAAAGAAATACCTGAAGGACGGAGAGATGAGGTACGTTAGTTTGAACATGAACATTAAAAAAACACAGTTTCAGATTAAACACTGAACAGGTTTGCCTGACCCTTGTCTTCTGGCCTGAATAAGCCAGATCGCATACACACATGCATGTACTCACATACTCACATTCACACAGAGCCACAATCCCTTTAATCTTATTTTCTTTTGCACTGTAAGGTTTTTAGGGATTTGGCAAAAATTCAGATGGATTTAGAGTATCAGCCAAACTCATGGCACTTTTACACAGTAGACAATTTTGACATTTTTCTGTTTAATTTTTCTTTTAATGTGACAAAAGAGGCCTGATGTTTGACATGGACTAAAAAACACATACACACATGCACATGCACAGCTCCAAACACACATAGTTGGCACATGAGGAAGGGAAGTAGCTCAGGGGAAGAAGTCAGGGAAAGCCCAGTGTTTGTGTATCAAAGGCAGGGGGGGCAAATCTGATTCCCCGCTCAGTCCAACTAAAACATGCTTTGATGCCTCCACTGCTGCTGCAACAAGACTTTCTCTCGTTCTGTTTTTCACTCACACTGTGTGCATGTGTCTGTGTGTGTGTGCGTGCGTGCATCTCAGCGGAGCTCTGAGGAGGCCAGGGGTGGAGGCAGGCCACAAGAAAGAGCTCCACAAGAAAATTAGAGAGAACTCCACTTAAACACTAACAGAAAGCAGAAAGCAAGAGACAGCAAGATGCTAACCACCAGCCAGACTTAAAGAGGTAAAAGAAAGAGGGAGGAAAATGATTGTTGGAATGAAGAAAAAAAAAGCCAACAAGGACAGGGATAATAGCTGCGTAATGTTCTGGAAACACGTTTCTTTCCTCTGAATGGACTACTGCAATGATTATTACTACTACTTTACTTGACAAAAGGTCACTCTTCAGGGAAAAGTTTATGGTTTGCATGCTGTGTGTGATTTCACAACCCTTATTTGCACCCATTTCAGCCCCTCCACTTATTCTGACATATTTTCCCTTGTCCTCTTTAACCGCTGTCGTTTGTTTTCTTTCTTTATCAGAAGCATAACGCATGTCCTCATAACCACTTCTGACAAAACACTTCAGGGAGATATTTTCAATTTCTTGCCGTCTGCTCAAACCATGACTGTCTTCAAACCACACACAGATATTTTATCTGCATGCTTTATTGAATTAAAGCATGTTCACATACAGACCCTGAAATCACAAATAGGGCATAGGACTACACTTCAACTACTTAAAAACAAAAAACAAGAAAAAAAAAAACAAGAGAAGAGAGAGACAGAAAGAAATGAGAGTGAGACGTTGGTGGGACCTCCAACAGTGTCTCACTGTTAGGAATTCTGTTGTTTATATAAACTGTAATCTTTTCCATTCGTTGTCAGGGCCTGGGGAGCCGTGTGTGAGAAAGAGAGCTTAAGTGTTTACATGCCTGTACGTATGTGCATTTCTCCTTGTGTGTGTCTGTGTGCACGCATATGTGCCCCGCATGTGTGTGCATGCATGCTATGTTCAGTGTGTATGTGAGGACTCTGAGCGGAGCTGAATTAGGCTTGCTGTTTATTCAGTGCATTACAAGGCCAGAAGATGTTTACAGCAGTATATTTATGCTGCTCCCCAGCTAGCCAGCTCTGGCTTGCCCCATTCACCCGACCACAGCTACAGCTACAGCTAAACAAGACCTCCAACCGAGATACTAGACCCTTCTGTCTCTCTTTCTCACCCCGTCCTCTGAAAATGATCTCTCACACAGCCATGGGAGGAGAGGAGAAAAACAAAATGCTCTCTGTGACTTTCTCGCTCCCAGTCCTACTTCCTATTCATTCTTCATTCTTTTTCTGTCTTTCTACATATTTACACCTCTTTATCTTTCCAACCCAACACTGTGGAGGATACGTTCATCTAACATCTATCTATCCACCCACCAGGACCTCATATCCTTGCAAGGAAGCCACCCTTAGAGGACTTCTCCTCCTCTCTCTCTCTCTCTCTGCCTCTGTCTCTGAATCTGCAGAAAAACTGTGCTTTTTATGTCATGGAGGCCTGTTGCAGTCTGTGAGCTCAAGGTTGTGGTTTCGGGTTTGGGCCTGGACCACATTCGGTTGAAAAACATCGAGCTATTTGCCTTTTTTCCACTCTGACCATGAAACAGTGGTAGAAAACACACACACACACAAAGTACACACAATTTACATGCACGCTCACACACGCAAGGAGTGATGTCTGTTGGTGGGCTTCAGACCATCTGACTGGCTGACCAGTTCAAATTTAGCTCCACTTTTTATTACGGCACCCGACATGGTGGGAGAGAATGCCAAGCGGATGATAGGAATTTTTACAGATTCCCTTGTGTGTGTGAGTGTGGTTGTGAAGAGACACGGAGAAAGGAGAGTGAGGGAAAGGAAGAGAGGAAGAGGAGACGACGAGGAGAGATGGAGAGAGAGAGAAAGAGCGAGACATCACCCAGTGGGTAGCAGAACACTTCCATGTTTACGAGCAGCTGCTACACACCCTTGATGTTTTCCCCATTTGTTGTGCTCTGAGGTTGGGGAGACAGGAGATGGATGTGTGTGTGCCTAGAGTGACAGACCCAGGTGCATATTTGTCACCGTGTGTGTGTGTGTGTACATAAATAGGGGTATAACATTTCCACCTGCATGCACCACTGACCCCCCACAAGGCTTCCTCCCATCCCCAAGTGAGGCTAGACAACTGGCTCCACACACACACACACAACACACACACACCACACACACACACCACACACCACACACACGGTGCCGTGTAAAAACCAAAACACTGCTTCTTCTGCAAGGTACAAATGGGTATCTAGAAGCGTGTGGAATGAGTTTACTGTCACTCTCTTTTCACAATAAGCACCAAGTCAAGCATTACAAAAAACAATTACATGGCTACACACACAACACACACACACGAGTATCTCACCTCATGGATGAAGTCAAACTCTGACCCTGCCCAGCTTGAGAAGGCCAGCATCGTGGGAGATCGGGGCGCCCGTCAACCACCGGGGGGCAAACATGTGCTCCAGAGCCACTTGCAGAGCGCTTGTTTCTGTTGCCAATCGCTGGGACAGGAGCCTGTGGCGGGAGGGGAGGTGGAGAGGGAAGAAAATTGAGTTGGAAATCTTACCGATCACCCAAAACTCGTCGCTTGCGGCGACGGCTTGGCCACGCTTCAGAATTCCTGCATTTGTTTTTGTTGGGGAATCGGCTACGGCTACCAAGCTTCCTAGGTAAATCTTTAATCAGCACTTATTTTACCTTTATACTTTCCATTTCAGGCATTAAGCCGCAGGAGTTTATTTTTTTGCCAAAAATTGTTTTTGCAAAATCAGCTTTTGCATTATCTATCCTTGTAGTTGGTAAAAATATTTTAATCATTTTACAAAAATATACTGGTTAAATTTAACTTCCCTGAGGTAGGTTAAATCCACCTTACAAACTACCACTTGGTGATTTTTCAGTCACATTAATTCTTATGTAGTCAAATTGTTGGTGTGTAGTATGTATTTAAAAGTCGACCAAAGCATCAGGTTTCAAGTAAAGGTTAGGGTGTTTAATTTAGGGGAAGCTCAGCCCCCCCCCCCAACAGTTAATCCATTGTGTGTGCTCTTACTTTGTGCTGAGTCCTTGACTTACCAGTGGCGATTGTGCAAACAGTGAACTCACTCCGATGCCCACAAGAGGCGATCAGGATAACCACGGGATGGCACTCAGCTTGTGCCAATCGACCCATTTGATGCAAAACAACCTCCACCGTCATCATTGGCATATACACACCCTGAAAGAACATGAACAAGACGTTGTTAAAAGTGACGCATTTTTCGTCGTGCCAATTGCTTGCTGCATTAATTACCATTAAGGATGATTTGGGGGAACAAAGCAACGTAGGCAAGACAAATAGGGGCATGTAAACAATAAAAGGGAGAATAAGGGGCTTTCGCTTATGACTGAGGTTTACCTTTTGCTTTCTTACCCCGGCACAATCTTTGACCCGTTGCCTCAGGGGATTTCAAACCACGTGGCCATCAAAATTACTAACACCCTGGAGGCTAATACCTTCCTTCCCTTCTCCCCTTCCCCTCCTTTCCTTTTCTTTTTCTTACTTTCTTCCAGAGGGTGGGTCTGAAGATGATGGACAGGCGCCTGGACAACAGAGCTGTGGCACTCTGCTCAAGTATTATCATATACATCTGTCTCTGTTTGGGTGGAAAACAATTTCTCTTGTTTTTAACTAGATTAAGCAGGCCCGTTTGCGTTTAGTTTTATCTGGTTTCCGTATTTGTAATGCAACAATCTTGAGTAAATGTTACTGTAACCGCAATCAAACAGCAACAACAAGTCTTAAAAAACAAGGAGGGAGAAAACACGTTCCTGGCCAACGGAGGAGCTTTTGATCTCGTGGGGGGCTCGGAGCTGGGGGGCCACAGTTAATTGGGAAATGATAAAAAGCCCGTTCTTACTTTTTTGCTCCCCGCCACATACAGGCCGGGGTGGAGCCTTCACAGCGGGGCTGATGCTTGGAAACCATACATGCATGCTAGCTGCTGCCTCTCTCTGCTCTGTGAGACTGTTGTATGTGTTGCGCGTCTTAATCAGTTTGTGCTAGGGACTGCCCCTCACTTAAGATGTAAACACATTCCAACTGAAACCGCGCGCTGTTGTTTGTGGCTACACTTCAGTCCAGAGGTTGGGATATGTGGGATTTGTTTATGTGTGTGGGCGTTTGGGGGGGGCGCCTGTAAGGCACCACGGTCCCCACCAGCTCTGTGGTGGTGAATGTTTTCCACTGCTGAACACTGCAGGACTGTCTCTTTCTCTCTCAACATACACACACACACAACACAACACACACACACACACACACACCACACACACACACATATCCCTGGGATCGGATGGGTTGAGGCAGGCCAACGGGTGCAAAACCTGGGCAGATCTGTCCGTGTCCCAAGTCTCTCCCTCTCCTTCTGCACAAAAGCAGTGCCGTGAGCGGGTTTGAGGTAGAGGTTCAGGAGGGGCCAAAGCTTTCTTGCCTCCTTTTGCTTTCCTTTTCTCCAAGGGCCGGCCCAGGGCTACGATTAGAGATGACAAAGGGTCCCCATGGTGTGTGTGGTGCGTACTGCCCTCGCAGAGAAAAGCGGGCCCCCTAGACGCGTTTATTGGTCGAGCCTGGTGCTGAGAAGGGTGAGAAGAAAGTGAGGGAAGCAAGAGGTGAGGGGGAAAAGCGGCTAATTGATGGTTGTTGGAGGTAGCATGGGAGGTGAAATGGCAGACAGGACAGGCCAAGGGTGGGAAAGGAAGGAAAAGCCAATAGGGAGGGGAAACGACGGAAGAGCTTTTAGGACATTATAAGCGAGTTCGTAGGGCAAAGTGATTTGGTGGCTTACAATGGATGGCGCCAGTCCAGGGTTGAGCAGGAGCAATCGCACCAGCCAGGAAGGTGCAGGCGCACCACGCCTGATTGGCCAGCAGGACCAGTGGGTCTGAGTCAATGTACTGCTCCCAGAACGGATGGGGTATCCGTTTAGGGTAGGTTTGGAAAACTCCCTTGCCGGGCCTAAAACTCAATCACACGGCCCGCCACGCTCTCGGATGGCTCCACAAAGTTCAACCAGGCCTGGCGAAGGCGTCTCAGGTAGAAGGGGAACTGCGGCAAACTCCAGGGGGCTCTGCAGGCTAGGGACTGCATGGAGAAGGAAGTGAGATTTTTGAGATCAGTCAATTGCTGTTTTTTACTTGCGAAGGCCCAATTTCCGGTGTATCCATCGCCAGGGCCAAAATAATGCATTTTAAGCTATTACTGCCGCCAGATTATCCCCCTGTAGCTGTCATTACTTGTCGTGCAATCCACTCCTCTTGGGGATGGGGGGTAGAAGTTGGCCTGAGGAGGCAGCATTAGGCCGAGGATCGGTTGCTGAACCCGACTGTCGGGGTAAATGTAAAACACCTCTTGGGGGGGGGATCAAACCCTCTGCATCCACCAACCGGCGCGGAAGTCAGCTAGAGGACAACGGATTCAAAGGAATTCTCGATTTAAACAGTCTAGCTTTTGCTCAGGAATATTGGTAAAAGAACAGCTTGATAATGTAGTGACGGGTTGTCACAATGCCACACAGCTGGACATAAGTAGGAGATGACATGCTGGATTTTGTTTAAAGTATTCTTGCCAGCCCGTACTAACATTACCTGGCTGTAGTTGAAAGGCTCTTTCTTGGAGGCCGGTCTGGATGGAGCTTGTATGGCCAGAGGCTGCCGTTTCCTCTGTTGCCGTACGATTTAGCTGTCAGACGGTATCCTGCCTGCCTAGCCAGTTCAGCATCAAAGCAGATTGAAGACCTTGCGTGGTGGGGTAAAACACACACAGAAGAAAGGCTTATTGTGGTTGTCAATTTATACATCAAATGATGATGTCTATTCATCAGTAAAAATTATAACCGCTTTCTGTGTGGTCTATGTGGGGCAGGGTGGATTTTTTGGTTGAAAATGTGATCAATGTTTCCTTTTCCGTTCTTTTTTTCGCTGGCTCTTGGGGTTGAGCTGGTTAGCTATCACTTCCTCCTGGGACTGGTATTATGACACGTTTCTAGCCAGAGGACACACACACACACCACACACAGAGACACCACACACATGCAAAGATCCCTATGACCCCAACCCGTCTAAGGCAACAACCCCACCCATGAGGCCTCAGGGTGGATGGGGTAAACAGCCGATTGAACTTATTTCACTCACCCCTTAGCACATTCTCTCCCAGCACACACATACTTCATCTCACTCCTGTCTTTAGTGAAAAAAGCACACCTGGAACAACCTGTTGCACTCTCGGACAGAGACTACTTATTACGCAGGATCATAAAAAAAAAAACTTACTGAGGAGCTGAATTTGGTACCTCTGAGCGTCCTGGAAGTAGTGCAGCCACGATGGCGGGCAGCTTGTTTGTCACTGCTCTGCCACGTATCTAAGGAAATCTTGGAAGGCGTTTATGTGCCCAGCTGGGATCAGCCAGCTCTCGTGACGGGGCATAATCACAAATCCATCCTGGGTCACCAAGGTTACATCTTGTGAAGGGAGAAGATACTTGAACTGGGCATCGATGGAAATCGTACTCCTTGGTGTCGGGCAGTCTGGCACGATCGTCGGTTAGGTAGAGGCCATCCTGCGCCATTGGGTGGTTCCTTATACAGCGGAGGCTCCCAAGAGTTGCCCCCAGGAATATAGAGAACTCTCTCGACTTATGGGATCGGACCTCTTGGATTCTGTTGGGGCTATAAGGAGGAGCCAGAAGATAGGGGAGTCGGAAAGATAATGTGATTCATCTCCCCTGCGCATAGTGGATTGTATCAAGAGTTTCAGTGCTCTCAAAGGAACGGCTTGTTGACGCCGGGACGCTACTTAGTTGATTGAATGAAGTTGATTATTTTAGAGGTATGTTATTTTCGTGAATTTCCCGATGTGTGATTGGATTATCGCTCTTATACTATCTTTGTGTGTGTACTATGTGGAATATTTAAAAGAATATTCAGGTGGTTTGTGTGTCCTCGTTGGGGAGTCTTGTCGTGATATAAGTGGGGTGCTCGAGGAGCTGTGGGGAAGTGTATAGGAGGGAGTCTCTCTGGTCGGGAGAATGTTATTCCGTTATGTGTGTAAATTGGTGTAATCAGGGTTAGATTTTGCGTGGTGAGGCATGAATAGAACCTGTGTGGTCCTAGCTAGGTGTGTAGGAGGGAGTCAGGATTTTGGTAAAAGATTATATCTAAGCCAGCCATGACTTGTCGTGGGTCTTTGGGCATCATAGTTGCGGTTTGTTTATTTGTGTAAGGTCGTATAATGCTTGTGTTTTATGACAATTTGGTGGTAAACATACATTTGAAATAGTAATTCTTGGAGTAGAAGTTAATTTTATGTTATACCTTGTGCAGTGAGTTGTGCGACGGTTTTGGGCGCAGACTGGAGAATTATGATTGGCATTATGTTGCGGATGTTGGTGTTGGGTGGAGATCTCATGGTGGAGCGTATATATAAAGTATTTTAAGGTGTGATGGTGATTGTGATGGGTATCTTTAGGTAGATGAAGATTTGCTTGGTGCCCGCCGCATTTTCCACTCACTCTTTTGTGAAATTGCCTTGCAAGACTAAAATCTTCAATAATTTACCATGACAGTCTGTTTATGGATCTGTGTTAGTTGAGTCATTGTTGTAGTGAGCTGTGGTTCACTGTATGGGAGTGGTGTACATTGGCGGGTAGCTCCTGTCGGAAAGGGGCTCGAGGGACCTTTTGGATTAAAGGGTGTAAAAAATTGGAATGTAACTGGGTGCGTTGTGGACAGGACAGGGTTGCCAGTCGTGGGGGGTGTTGCTGTGGGCTGCTTTCCAGCATCTGGGACAGGCTCGTGCGGAAGAGAGAGTGTATGTGTGTGTCTTGTCAACGTGTCAGTAGCTAGGAGTTGGTATGTAAGTGTCAGCATTAAGGTTGTTTATCCATTAGATCTGGAAAGATGCAGCTAATGTCACCTTAGCGTCACTGACCTAGGGCTGCATTCCTTGTGTCAGGGTTCCAAACTGCTGTGGGCATATGGTGCAGGGAGAAAGTGATAATAGGAAGCAGCACGCAATGAGCGAAGAGGTTTTAAAAACTTCGACCACAATGAATAGGCCGCAATGAATTAGGGAGAGAATAGTCAGAGTTAGAGAGAAGTAAAAAATTAATTTTAGTGAAAAATGTACGAGAACAGTTTGGTGAATTTATTACAGTACCATTTTCAATACCCAGATGGCGGGATGTGTTAGGGGTCCTTCTGACATTTTTTATACAGATTTTCTATAGGGTATTACTAGACCAAACATAGAAAAGTAATAGAAGAAGCATTACACTCTAATCAACTAGCATAGAGAGGGTATTGGTGGAGCTTCATGTAACTATAGTGGCGATTCCAAGAGTATAGAGGATGTGATTGTAAGAGTTTGTTGATTGAGAGATGAGAGGGTGGGCAGAGAGTTATTGTT